CATTGCTCTTGCTATCTGTGATACTCCTTCGATCATGGATGCCGGCATGACGAGCGTGGAACCGAGACCGCTGGCGACGCATGAAGAAGGATGGCGAGAAGCGCAGCACAAGAAACGCAAGACGTATCGATACATAGCCGTCGTAGCGTTGCTTATACGCCCTCAGGATGCAGATGCTCGATGCCGGGTTGAAGAATTGCAGGAGATGCGAAGTCATTACGACGCTGCGTATCAGCGCTGGGAACCGCACGTTACGCTCGTGCCTCCCTTTGAGCTCAGCATCGAAGCTGAAAGGGGCGCTTTGAGAGAAGGACAAGCCTCGGCCAAGCGATTTACCCATAATGTTGATGAAGGCAGCCCCAGAGCCGATGGCTCGCTCCCTCCTGCAGCGTTCTCGGACGCGCAACGTGCGGGGACGTCAAATGAGTCAGAGCTTGCGATTCGAGACCTCGAACGGGTGGAACGAGGTATCTGGAAAGACAGGGCGGCAGAAATATCCTTGAAGATCCAGCGAGCTGTGACTACGCACGAGCCATTCAAGCTTGTCTTTGATACTTGGGGAGCGTTCAAAGTCAGAGCGTACACCACTGTCCACCTCAAGCCGCGTACGGATGGATGGCAACCACGGGATGCCCCCAAGCGAAGCACTGAGGAGTGCCTAGACGATGCAGCCTCGCCGAGCCTGGACGCAACATCGAATGCACCAAATGGACATGCAGAGGTCTGCACATTACAGAGAGACATCGAAGTTGCTCTGCCGGAATCTGAGGATTGCGCTTTTCGGAGAGGAGGCTCCAACACCTCCAAAGGTGGTGGGGGAGGAAGATCCAAAGGAGCACCTCGCAGCAAAGAAAGCGGTGCACCAAATTCTCAACGATTTAAGGAGCACGCCTTCAAACCTCATTTGACCGCAGGACAGTACAACGTCTCTTACGAGCAGAAAGCGGGCCAGTCGGTGCAAGAGAGGGACGCGAAGAGGCAAGATGTGATAAGGAGGGCTACGGATCTCACTAGCGATCCGACTCGATGCATACATCTTGAGGTGGACAGGGTCTTCTTGCTGGGCAAGCCTATTGGCAGACCAGGCCCCTACGATATCTGGGACGAGATACCCTTGAAGGGTGCTGCGCCATGATCACGTTCACCTCGGAGCACTGCATGTACAACACCACAATTCAGCGCTGTGGCTGTGTCGAAATCCCGTATTTGCTTGACAGCTCAGCGACGGAGAATGATCACAATGCTTGAATGATGCTTAGCATATATGGTGGTGGTTCAGACACACACACGATGAAGACACGCTTCATTCAAATTCCGTCATTTGTGTAGCACACCGCTTGTGACTGACGCACTCGTGACTTAAGGGCGCAGGTGACCGAACGATGAGGAGCTTGCTTCGGGGTTCTGAGTCATGGATCGTGTGAAGCCTGTATAGCCGTACTACTCTTGACTTGGATTAATCCTACTACTACTGTAGTCATCATAAGAGCGCGCACCGCTCACACCCAACCAGGCATGTTAAGCTCGTGACTCATGACACCTGAACCATTTTGAGTGCCTGTTGACCAACTCGCGACTCTTCTGACTCAACGACTGTCGACTGCCCTCGGACTCGCTTCAAAGCCTGGTCTGAGTGAGTGCTCTACGACTCCTTGACTGCTGCTGCTTACATGCTGGAGTCGTGAGTACTCGTGACTCTTGACTCCAGTTTGATGGATGATGCCGCCATGCACGAACTCCGCTGCTGCGCGCAAACCAAAAAAGTGCTGCGCATCAAACAATTGAATCAAGAATTTTGAATTTGAATTCAAGACTCTTGATCTGATTTGGAAGGTAGCGAAGCGATATTCTATTCTGGATTGGTCATGTAACCAAGCTTCTTTGGGGCCATACAAGGCAAAAGTCAAGTCTGAGTCAAACTCTTACAACCTTGAATTCGGATTTGTTGTTTCGGCCTAGGTCTGCCCTTCAATTTCAAAATAGAATTCCCTCCAGACCGACCTTTCAAAAGTGCTGAGCTGACCCATTCTTGATTATTCAAGATTTGCGTGACTTCCGCAAGGCTGCTGAGCCATGACCGCTGCTGCGCCGCCGCCGGGCGTTCTGCATGGCTGCTGCGCGCTTCGCCTTCGCGTACCTATACACAGCATATGGGGGACAGGATGCATATCATATGTGCATGCAACAGCATGAGCCTCTGCGCGCCTTACTGGTGCATACGCGTGATCGACGGTGTCCGCGGGCTTCATGGTGTAGCTATAT